GTCATTTGTGTGCTTGCCCTGGAAAAGAGGCCCCACAAACAGCTCGAGCTGCCTCTGGAGATCTGAGTTTGCTGTTTGTGTAGCGTCAAGGTCGATCAATCAACTAACTTAGGTGGCTGATGTTTCTCTTGCTATTTCATTAGAGCCACCTTGATTCCCAGAGTCTGGAGTAATCACCACACTCTTCAGTGAGGGACAGAGGCTATGATAAACCTGGAATTTGATTTGTACAGCTGACTGGTAATGCAACTGATGATGATTAATGAGTTGCTCCACACTGCTGTGTGTCACTGAGGTTTCTTTTTCTTTCCCAGGCCCTGGAAAAACACTGTAGAGTAGAAGCTGGCTTTTCTGGCATCAGAGATGTTTACACCACAACCCCCACCCATGACAACATGCAACAGAGTTTTTTCCTCGCAGAGACTCTGAAGTAAGTCTGGAATCACAGAGGCCTTTCAGAGCAGCGTAATTCCTGCAGCACCAACACTCTGGTCTGCAAAAAGTCTCTGGTAATAAGGGGGAAGTCTTCTCTTCTAGCAGAAGGTGTCCTTGCCCATGGTTGGGGGTTGGAAGGAGATGATCTTAAGGGCCCTGCCAACCCAAACCATTCTGTGCCTCTGTGGGGACAACTGGGCAGGCTTTGGGTGCTCTGAAGCTTTTGCAGTTTCCTGCTGTAGAACCACTGCTGTCCTTGGCACTCTCGAGGTTCCTGCTCATGTGCTGGACTTCAAGAACTCTTCCTGTGCCTTAGAGCTGCTCTAAGTGGGCAGCTGTGACTGCTGATCTCCCTTGAATTTGCCTCTGATGGTTCAAGAGGCAGCCCTGTCCTCTGCCAGGTCCATGTCCTGCACTCAGAGGAGGCACGACTGTGGCCTGAACCTGCTGCCCCTTGGTGCAGCTCTGCTTTGCTGGTTGTGTGAGCTAATGTTGGGGGGGCTGAGCGTGGATGCCCATCCCCTTTTGCCCCAGGAGTGGTGGTTTCCAGCAGGAGGGTGAGCCAGGGAGGGGGTCAGGAGATGTGTCACCTCAGGAGATGTGCCACCACAGATTGTAACAGCTGTGGGCAGTGGCAGCCCCACTGCACTCCTGCTGCTTGTGCATGCTTGGGGTCCCCCCCTGGGCTTCCTCTGACCTCTCTTTGTGTCCATCTCCCTGCCCTGTGGCTCCAGGTACCTCTATCTTCTGTTCTGTGAAGATGACGTGCTGTCCCTGGACGACTGGGTGTTCAACACCGAGGCTCATCCCCTGCCAGTCAACCACACGAACTTTAAAGCAGCTGTGCAGCAGTGAGGCCCTTGCCCAGCACCTGCTTCCGTGGGTCGCTGCTTTTCCTTTCCATTAAAGGAATTCCTGTTGTTCCTAAAATGGTATTTTGGGGCACTAGTCCAATTCCGGACAGTATTCTACTGGGAAGATGAAACCATGACGTAAGCACCTTCTTTTCCTCTGTGAGGAGCTCTATTAGCCTGATAATGAGATGTTTATTCTGGGCCATACTGTACACAGTTCATAGACATTCCTTTATACAGAGAATTTATATGAAATCCACTGACTTTGCTTTATAGTGGCCAAAGGACTGGAAGTTTGCCATAAAATAGACACACACACAAACACACACACACACACACACACATCCTCCTTTCCTTTTTCTGTTTCATTTTTGCCTTTTATATGCTTTTATCAGCTTTCTGATGAGCGGTTTTCAATGTACTGTGCTTTTCTGGTGGTGGGCTTTGGGGGCTCTTTGGTGTGGAGTGTGTGGGGATGGATGAGGAGCCAACTGAGAGCTCAGGGGTTGGGGTTAAAGAGAGGACAGGACAGATGACTTTACAGTGGGTGGCTGCTGTAGGCACCTGGCCAGGGAGAACAAGAGGATCGGACCCTCCACAGACAGGTGGGAGCAGCATCGGGTTTGAATTTGCAGACCCTGATCTTCATGGGGGACTTCAACCCTCCTGGTATCTGCTGGAGGGACACACAGCAGGGAATGAGCAATCCAGGAGATTCCTTGGGTGGATTGATGATAAATTCCTCCCCCCAAGTGGCAGAGGAGCCAACAAAGAGGGGCTCTGCTGACCTCACACCAGCCAGGGGCTGGAGAGGTGAAGATAAAAGGCAGCTCTGGCTGCAGTGACCATGAGATGGTGAGTTCAGCATCCTGAGGGCAGGAAGGAGGGGGGAAATCAAGCTCAGCCCTGGACTTCAGGAGAGCAGACTTGGACCTCTTCAGAGATCTGCTCAGAAGAGTCCTGTGGGATCAGAACCTGGAGGGAAGAGGGGCCTGAGAAAGCCGGTAAATATTTTAAGAATCATGTTGTCCAAGCTTAAGAGAGTTCCATTCCAGTGAGCAGGAAGTCAGGCAAAAATGCCAGCAGGGCTCTGTGGATGAGCAGAGAACTCCCAGTCAAACTCAGACACAAGTAGGAAGCCATGGGTGGAAGCAGGGATGGGTAACCTGGGACCACTGCAGAAACACTGGCTGAGCATCCAGGGCTGACATTAGGGAAGCTAAAGCCCAAATGGTGTTGAATTCAGCCAGAAATGTCAAAGATGAGAAGAAGGGCATCTGTAAGAACATAGGATACAAAAGGAAGATTGGGAAAATGTGGGCCCACTGCTAAACAAGACAGGAAACCTGTTCCACAGGACATGGAGGAGGTGGAGATACCAAATGTTGCCTTTGCCTCTGTCCTGACTGGCCAGACCAGGACTCCCGGGTTCCACCCACTACTGGGAAGGGAGGCTGGAGCAAGGAAAGGTTTTCCTTCTCCTCCCCTCAGCACAGGTGAGTGCTGTGTCCAGTTATGCATAATTAAGGGGCTGGAACATCCCTCCTCTGAGGAAAGGCTGAGAGAGCTGGGACTGCTCAGTCTGGACAGAGAAGACTCGAGGGGGATCTTTCTAATGTGTAAAAAGACCTGGAGGGTGGGTGCAAAGATGAGCCAGGCACATTCCAGTGGAACCCAGTGACAGTTCCAGAGGCAAGGGGCACAAATTGAACACGGGGAATGTGAGGGAACACTTTTTCTTACCCTGGGGGTGACCAAGCACTGCCACAGCTTGCCCAGGGAGGGGGGCAGGTGGACCCTGGAGGTCCCATCCAGCCTCTGCCATTCCGTGATTTCTGTGACTCTGTGGTGTCAAAACTGTAACTGAACCAAAACCCCCTCTGCAAAATCCTTGATCCTAATGTATTTTTATATACTTTTTTTTCTGTGCTCTTAAAACACATTTACCACACACATCTCACTTAACTTTCCTTCATCAGTTTTTTGTGTTTTTCTACTTTTATTTGGAGCTAAATGTTACGAGTCACTTGTAATAATTTCACTGCTGTAATAGTCAAATCTGTGAAACAGAATAAAAGTCTTGTAAAATAAAATGCCTCTTTGGGTTGATCCTGCAAAAGACCTGTCACACCATGCTGGGAATAACTAGGTGACAATGCTGGTTGATTTTTTTTAAAGAGTATTGCACAATAGGTGATGTTGATTTCTAGAGCAATCCAGCCAGTGTATGGACAGCAATTCCCAGCTCTCTTGAATTTCTGGGTCTGGGATCAGCATTCCCTCTGACCACTGCAAAGCTGTGTGGCCCTTGGGGATGGAACATTTGGGTTCGTTCTCGTGACATTCTCTTGATAATCGGTTCATTCAGCGTCTTGGGAAAATAAAAAGTTGCTTCGAGCAAGTTGTGAAGACAAAAAATGTTGTTTCTAAATTCCTGCCTTTGTTAATTCCCCAAGAGAAATAAGGCTGTCAGATGGGGACTTAGCATTATCTAGGGGATAAAGATACTGGCTGGTAAGCCTGGCCTAGAGGAATGGTTATTGGTAAATAAACATCTTGGGAGTGAGCTGTGTTATCCAAGAGATTTGGATACCAGGAAGCTGTTCTAGCTTTATCATGGATTAAGGGAATTTCTTAAATAAAAATGTCCTGCTCTTGGAGTAACTAACTCACAACACTTTGCCTGGCAAAATTTAAACCCCTAAAATAAACAGCATGGTTCTGGTTTCCTTTCGAAATAGATCCTTGGCGTTACATTAAAACTCTGTGTTTTTTTCCTCTTCTGCACAAGGGAGCAGGAGCTTGTTTGTGGCATCCCACATCTGCAAATGCCTCTGCCCATGCTCCCAGACATCCCCTGAAATCCCCAGGCCCAGGGGATTAATCAGAGCCATCAAGTTAAGCGTGCCTGTGTGTAGCAGGAGTCAAGATTTGTTCCAAGGATCAGCTTTGTTCCAAGGCCTGGCCCTGATCCACGAGCGGGATGTTTCTGTCCTAGGGCAAGGCAGGCAACAGAAATGTTTGTCCTGCTGGTGTCTTGAAAAGCTTCTGCCCTTCCCTTCCTCGAGCCTTGGCTGGAGGCTCCTGCTCAAGCGGAACTTGGGAGCCCTGTGTGGGATTTGGCCCCCAATTCCTCCCGCCAGGTGGGTGGGTGGGTGGGATTTCTGTCCACTCTCACTTTCCAATAAATGTGGTGTCACATTTTACCAGAGGTTTGGCTTTAAATGTCTGATGGGAGGATCTGGGAAGGTGTGTGTCTTTGAGCTGCTTCCCTGCCTTTCAGTCCCAGGCACGGGGGACATCAGTGGGAATTCTGTTGCCTGTTGTTGCTTTTTTAGTGTTTTTTCCCCACTTTGAGCCACCGGGCCATTCGATCAGCCTGGGTTATTGCCTGTTTCCCCTGTTCCATTCAAATTCAGAAGCCGTGATTACCATCTTAATTTTCGCCACCGGAGCGTGTGATATTTCATATCAGGAGGAATTTCCTGTAAAATGAAGTTCTGATAGCAGAAAGTTGCATTAGTGGTGGAGATGAAAACTAATCCCTATCGCTGAGGCTGCTGTCGCCCGGCCTACACGGAGATAAGACAAAACCATCCAGAAAACAAATGCATCCTTTTGTAACCCACACTTCATTTTTACGGCGTTATTAAATTCCCTTGGAAGGCTTTCAGCAGAATTGGTTATTGAATTCAAAAGCCTGGCAGCCAGAGTATTTTTCCACATACGTTTTGATCTGATCTATTTATCTGATTGTTTCAGATGTGATGCACGAGCGCTGGCTCCCGGTGCCAGCAGAGCTCCAGCAGCTCCTCCCGATCACGTTTGGCTCTCTGGCTTCTCTCCCTGCGGAGCCTCCAGCAGGTACCGTGCTGGAGTTGGGAATCCTCTCCATAAAACACCTGCTTTGTGAATGATTTCGCTCAGGGAGAGCCACAGCGTGTGGACTGTGAAGTGACCCACAGGTTGGATCGCTTCCTTCTCAGTAGGAAAGGCCAGGGAGGAGTTAGGAATGCAAGACTTGGGAATCGGCCCTTGCCCCTCAGCTGAATGGTTTACTTTGAAATGCCTCAAACTTCATTCCCTCCACAGCCTTCACTGGGATGAACTCTCTCATTTCCATGGTTGTGAAGTTTTGTCACCTCTGGTTTTCTTGTCCCCCTCCAAAAAGCCCCCCGTGAAACCAGACTGGGACACTCCTTGTTCCTTACAGTTTCCAGAGGATTAATGCTTTTGAGCCTCAGTCTGGTCAGGACTTGCTTCCCCCATGGGAGGGGGGTTCTGTTTCCAGGTGCTTTTTCCATTCGTGCTCAGGTTTTACAGCCTCATTCCATTGCTCTGTGATGGGTTTGGCTTTTGATCCAGGGTTTCAGGCAATGGGAACAGGGCCATGGATTGAAACAAGGACAGGGTTCCTCTGCTCTCCCAGCGTGCTGCCCTGGAATGTGGAGTGACTGCCTGTACTCTGACACATGGAAAACCCATCCATCTCCTGCAAAAAAGGGTTGCTCCAAGTTTTTTCATCCCTGCCACCGATTTCTCACTGTTTTTCTTAACCTTCTCCCTCCTGACAAAGGGAAAATCTGAGATACTTTTTCCTTCTGGGTGAATTCTCTTGGTAGAAGTCTTCCCTATTATTTTTCTAGGATTCCCTTTGAAAGCCTGGATATTTAGCATTCTTCCTGAGTGCTGTAATCTCAGGACCCGGCAGTGCAGAGCCAGGAGCTGCTGGGTTTGTTCTCTCTCGAGGAGGATCAGCTCCCAGCAGACACCCTGAATTATTTCACCTTTTGTCTTTCCGTCCTTTTTCCTATCAAATAATTCGTCCGTTCGTCATCTTTATGTGGTGGCTGATGACACTGGAAATGGTTCAGCTGTAAAACGAGCCTCTCATTTAAACAGGATCACCTCGGCTCTGCCAACCAACCTTGTCAGGTCTCCTCCACCGAGGAGGCTGCAGGCGTTGTCATCTCATATCACCTCTTGCTCTTGCTCATTTCCCAGACAGCCAAGTCCATTTGTCCTGTTCCACAGCTATCTGGTCCTGTTACATTTTGTGCTCTAAAGGTAAGTGCT